TGAGATGGGATTGAGTATTGGACTTTTAAAATTATGTTATGATTGAGAAAATTTACCATGAGAACGTTCTGATTTTTAGTTTAGTAAATATTATAATTAACATGAATATTCACTTTACTTCTTGTACATTTTAACCTATCATTAGTGTATGTTATAAAACCGATAGTACTTTTAAAAGTACTAATTATGAAACATTAAATAAAATTAAAACCGTTGTTCCTTTTCAGTTACATTTATTAATATCGTTATTGTATCTTTATGTAGTATTAATTTATTAAGAAGGTTACATTTATGTTTTACTTTAAAGTATAAAATACAATTTATTTACTTTTCCTTTTTAAAGTCTGTAATACCGAATGTTCTTTTAAGAGAAAACATTTTTTTATTATTTTTCACCTAAAATAAGCTCTATGCACTATTATATAGGGCCCCTGAAAATATGAATGCAAAAGAAAATCTCTAACATAGAATTTTTTTTACTCGAAGTGCTCGGCGTTTACTACTTCAAATTATTCGTTCTTCTGAAAGCACATTCGGCGATACTTAGAAGTCGACACAATTTACTCTTCGGTCTTACGAGGATACTCTTTCGCATTATCTTCTATTTTATTAGTGTATTCCGGAATCCCACAGTTCCTTCCCACTTAAGGCGAATGACTGAGCACCGAGGTCTTTTTAGTGGGTATGCCTTGTCCTTCTGACTGTGTGAACCCCACATAATAATATGTTAATTATATGTATGTGTTTTGGACCTGTCTGTAAACATACATTTTCTGATAATAAATCAATAAATAACCTTAGATTAATAAAACCTAGATGGATAGTCTTCATACAAACGCTTCGTCAAGAGTGAGGCAAAAATCTTATGTCATTAGTGTCAATTTTGTTGGGGAGTGTAGTAGACAGTGAAGGCGATTTTCCCGAAAGTAGGGAAATTTTTAATACGTTTTAAATTATTTTATAATTAACAAAAACAAAACGCATCATGTACCTACTTACTTATTTATTGAATTCAAAGTACCTACCTAACAAGTCGATAAATCGACTTAAAAGTCTCAATTTCATAAAAAGGAAGTGTATTTGTACGGCGAACAATTGGGAAAAAAAATTCTTGTAACTGGTATCATTCCCGTATTTAATTTTTGAAAGCCAAATTTAAGCAAAATACGCGTTGAATTGTAGAACTTCCTTATATGAAATGTAACACTGGTCACTTTCTTTCGTTTTTCTGATGTATTTAAAACACCCTTTCACAGCACAAACCGTTTTAATTAATTAAAATTCGTCGGACGTGTTTACCAATTTTTCACTTTGACAGTTCATGTGACGTTTACGGGTGAGCCGTGCCGGCTCCCTAAAAACTGCCTCACCTTTCGTGCACTGACTATCTATCTAGGTTTTATTAATCTAAGTAAATAACCTACCCTGTCCCCGTAGGGTAGGTATGCAGTTCAATGCATTTTTTCCCCGATAAAAAAAGGTGGGGGCCCTTTTAATCCACGGGGCCCTGGGCTGAAGCCCAAAAAGCCATATGGTAGATCCGGCCCTGGATGGAATACGATGGAGACGATGTACTTTGCTATACATTTCGATATTGGCTTGAATCTATTTCTTACTAGCGGCCATCCCGCGACTTCGAACGCGTGGATCCCGTTTTACCCCCTTAGGGGTTGAGTTTTGCAAAATCCCGTCTTAGTGAGCACCTACGTTCTAAAAGGAACTCCCATGCAAAATTTGAGACTCCTAGCATTTGTAGTTTCTGAGATTTCGTGATGAGTGAGTGATGATTTAATCACAGTCAGAGATAGGGATTTTAGAAATTTTTGCAAAAAAACATAATCCTCCTTCTGGCGCAGTCGGGTAAAAAAGGGCGCGTGTTGAACGCTTTGAAAGACAAAGGGTTATTTTTCGACTTGTTAGAAGTCCCTGATATTCTATTAGGAACTCCCTAGATAGGATGGCTTAACAATGGAGTGCAGGTGCGGTTTTGTTCCCCAGTCGATGAAGCACCTGATGTCATGCCCTGAGTGCCCAAGCAACTGCACTCAGGATTTGATAAGTGCTACTGACAACGCCACTCTCGTGGCGGAGTTTTGGGCTGACACTGTGTAGGTTTGTTGTCGACACGAAAAGAAGAAGAAGTAGGAACTCTTTAATAGAATATCTGTTTCTAAACTTTTGTGGAACTTGTATGGATCCGGTTATTTTTGTGTTAAGATATCCGAGTAAACAAATAGACCTTCTATTGTTTCCGGATTCAAGATGTTATGTAAAGTTTTAATAGTGAATAGTTTTCGTCAAGCTCTATTATTACACAAGCTTTTCAAAATAAGCTGTTTTTTACTAAAATCTGGTAAAACCTGTTAGATAAAGATAGTAGGTAACTTTTTTACATTTTCACTGAAGATATTTTTAAGAATTTTGGTAGAGACAATGTCATAACCTCATAAGAAAACTTTAAAGTGGTGCAAAAGAAGAAAATTGTGCTATTTTATTACAAGTCAATTCACGCTTATTTTTATGCTCGAAAAAAATACGCTCGTTTAATTTTATTTTGACTCTACATTTACCTCGAGGCGTTTTTATTAAAAGTCAATCCACCAGTCCATTTAACACTCTTATATCTATTAAATAACAACAAAACTAAAGATTAAGCACACCTACTTACTACACTGCCTGAAACACCTAGTTTTTTACCTCTTTTCTGTCATGTTTTCGTTTGTTTTAACGGAGGTTATCCTCCAACAGTAAAACATAACCAAACTCCTTCGCGTTGTTAACAGCATTAAGAGCAGGTGATCGATATCTGGGAGACAGAGGCAGAGGTGAAATATATCGGGCTCTATAAATATTGATTTTATGCGAGCGAGTCGGCCGGACGGCAGGGTTGCCCCCTTGAGTCGGCTGTCCACAGAATAAAAAGTAAAATACGTTTTTTTAATAAATGAACTGTACAATTATTTTAATCAACTTATGGTAGAAGGAAGGCGCTGGATGCAAGCCGCTACCAACCGTGCGATGTGGAAGTCATTGGGGAAGGCCATTATATGTTCAGCAGTGGACGTCCTGTGGCTGAAATGATGATGAATGATAAAAAATACTCAAATTAACTCGTGGAACTTTGTGGTCGCGTGAGACCGCGGTATCAATTTGATTTCTATCGCTGGCGCTTGAATGGTTAGAAGTCATCATCATCATCCGGCATCGATGGGCGTACCCAGAGGAGGGGCAGGAGAGGGCGAGCAGCTGCCCCCCCTGGAAAGGCGTTAAAGGAGCTAAGTCAAACGATCTGACCTAAAAAAATCTGACTAGCCTGCCCCTAGATCAGAAGCTGTGTACACCCATATCAGGTCATAAATCAACTTCACTGCAGGATCAAGACTTTCTCCAATTTGTCAGAGGCAAATGGAGGACTAGTCCTACACTCTAAAAAGTGAGGCACAAAATATATTTAAGAAATATCTGACTCTACAACTACAAAAGGGTTTCATACCTTTACAGTTTTGCAACGGAGGGAAGTCGATATTTCGAACTCCTTTTTTTATCCACAACGAGGAAGCTCTTGGCCTAGGCCGCGCGGCCGTATCTCACCTGATGGTAAGTGATAATCAGACCCATGGTGGAAGCGAGCTTCACCCGGAATCCTCAACCACAGAGGGACTGGAAAAATGCTGACAGACTTAGGTAAGATGGTGGTATACATAATTATTCTTTAGATTAAATTCGTTGTGGGTTCCAAGACCTAGGTTACCCATCCCCCGGGACTACTCAATCTTCACTAGTTGGGTTTCATTGCAGGCCAAGCTGTAGATCCTGGCTATACAAGAGTTGCAATGGTGAGAAAGTGTGCTAGTTAAAGAGCCATTTACGAAATTATTTTACAAACATTTTCTTACCCGACTGCAAAGATGGAGTTAATGTTTTCAATCATAAATATCCTCAAACTCTTTAGCACAACCCTAAACCACAGAGTTAAGCCTGCGGGGATGTCACACGTCTGAGGGGCAGTGAGATGTGAGAAAGAGACGGCAACAGCCCGCCGTACGAGCGACAGAGACGAGCGTATATCGTCTGTTTACCCTACCGTACTTAGATCTTTTTTATTTATTCGTTTGGTTACATTTTGTTCCCTTTGTGTAAATTTGGATGGTTTTTAATTATAATGCTGTTCTGTATTGAGTTACGGGCTCCGGCGTTGTTGCAAAGATAACGTGTGTTTGAGGTATGATAAGAATTTGGCGCATTATTTATTGTAGGAGCAATAGGGTTAGGAGTTTGCCCGATTGGGAATGGTCATTCTCAGACTTTAGTAGAAAATGAGCACGCTCTAACTAAAAATATCAATTAAGAAACCGGGGGGTAAGTAATCTATTTATGTCATTTGAACTAGATTTAAGTAAATATTGTTCGAATTATTGACGAAAAATATCACAGAAACAACTGGGTGACTCATACCCGTTTTAGCCACCAATCCCTAATTTTTAAGTGACCCATATGAAACCAAGATTTATAATAAGACTACCAATAGGGGTCACTTAAAAATTAGGGATAGATGGTGAAAACGGGCGTCAGTCTTCCAGCGACTTGGCGCACTTGTAGCTTGGTCCACGAGCCAGTTCGCCGGATTGTATTGTACAAATATTTTTTCTTCCGGCAACTAGACCTTTAATATTTTTATTAATAGGTAAACACCAAAATCAACAAATATGTACTCTAGAATCTTAATGGGCCCAGTTGTCGCTACAAGTCGCTGGAAGGCTCGTTCGTTCGTTTCAGCCGAAAGACGTCCACTGCTGGACAAAGGCCTCCCCCAAGGATTTCCACAAAGACCGGTCCTGCGCCGCTCGCATCCAGGCACCTCCCGCGACCTTCACCAGATCGTCGGTCCACCTAGTGGGAGGCCTGCCCACGCTACGTCTTCCGGCTGGAAGGCTCGCTCGACTCAAATACACTACTCGCTTCGACGTCGACGGTCTTCGAGGAAGCCAAAGAAAACGCGGTTAAAATTTACACATTTATTAAAAATAATCAACAAGAATATTTATTCTAATTAGTCAGTAATCAGTGGCAAAAAGGCCTCCCCAAGCGTCCCGCGACCTTTCTCCTATCGTCGGTCACCATAGCACCATTGATCCTACAATATTTCTTCCGATTCCTGGACCACAACAACGTGGTCTTGGTCCATAGACCGATCGTAATGTGATCTTCGGAATAAGGCGTGGATATCACACATCAAATCCTCTCTCTCATGCTCAGGCAACTTTCTCAGTTTTTTGGCAATAAATTTCCCGAAAACGTCGTACTCGTCTTCAGTCGTCGCAGGGTCAGTTTTTCCTTGTGTACTTTTTATGATTTTATTCAGATTGTTAAACGCTTCAGTCATTTGTCTGCTAGCGATTTGGAAATCGGGGTTAGGTGTAGATGATACAGATGCAGATGGTTTAAGATGGATAATTGGACGCTTGATGATTTTCCTAATTCGTAATGGATCGGTTCTCGGAGGTGGACTGTTTTCTCTTTCTTCTGCTATTTCTTCTATACTTTTTTCGGTTTCATCACGTTGATCCTGAAATAAAAATCAAATAAAATGTGAATATTTTTGTTTTTAGATACATGTTGCTGGGCAAATAACAGCAGTGGTTAGAAGTTGAAAACGGATTCGAGTATTTATTTAAAACTTTAATGCACATAAACTAAGGCACATAAGGCGAACTTAATAATGTCGTTCGGCATTCTCTTCCAGTTAACCTTATGGCCAAACAGAGAATGTAGGTACAAAATTATTGATAAAAAATTTATTATAGTTAAAATTATATTTTCTTTTATCCTCAAAAAAGTCATTAATTCATCTCTGCATCCTTTTTGATATACCTTATGTATTTTTAAATATTTTTTATTGATTTCTGTCTTTTATACAGTTGTCATGTCAATTTTCTCTCAATGCTTTTATGTTCCCTGAATTCCCGGGATAGTTACCCGATAAAAACTCAGGTATCCTGTAGTATTAATTTGCATATTTATGCCTCCCAGAACTATCTTATTATGATGGCCGCGAAACTTTACTTCATCAGAGAACTTGGCGGCAAAACATGGACATTAACCCTGCTTTGAGTAAAGCAGTTAAAAATACTAAAATACCACACACTAGTATTAATCTAATACCACGCAGATAAAAGCCATACTGTACTGAAGTAGGTACTGTAGGTAATAACACAAGCAATAAATAATAGTCAGGTTTTATAATTATCATAACCTAAAAATATGACAATAATTTTGCATTATTATTTTTAATAGAAATCCTACCTAATTCGTTTTTAATGTTACGTCATACCTACCTAGTTATTTACGATTTGCCGCCGTTACACTATGTGCGAAATTAATCGAAATTAGTAGTGTAAATCAGAGATCTCTGGTGTACACACGAAGGGAAGCATGGCAACGAAACGGCGAAACGAAATGAAGTTGTGTGTTTACCAAGCGACAGAAAAAACAGTGCTTACACTATCTGTTGATTAATTTCGCGTGTTGTGTAACGACGGTATTTATTTAGTACTAGCTGACCCGGCGAACTTCGTACCGCCTTAGCGATTAACGATCCTTAGAGATTTTCTTAATATTTTTTTCCGTAAGAACCATCCTTGGACTTCCACAAACATTTAAAAAAAAAGAATTATCGAAATCGGTTCAGCCGTTCACACGTGATGCCGTGACAACGCGAAACGGGTTTCATTTTTATATATATAGATAGTAACCACATCAAGCTGCTTCTGCAATCTATTTATTATCATGTACAGCATACTACATCAGACTTTACAGTTTTGTTGCAAAACAGCCCGTATTGCAACGAAATAAGAGGTCAATGTGTTTTTGGCTTGGTGTGCTGTCGTTCGAACAACAAAACGGCGCGTGACTTGATGAGTCGCTTAGTAAGTTAGCGATTGAATGTTGATAATTTTAAAATAAACTTACCGTTTTGATTTGCTTATTGTACACCTGCCCCAAAAAGCTGTCCATATACTCGTAAGCGAACCATGTTGGACGGTAAACAAAGTCGTCGTTGTCACCAGATTTCATTGATGATTCCACCTTCCTGCGGTAGGCCCGGTAAGTCGCATTGAGCGACTCCTTCTTTCTCTTTAACAAAGGTACCGAAACTCCAAAAGTGTCTGAAATGCGCGCCCAAGCATCATTCAATGACTTTCTATCCTTATGTCCCCTGTTGCTTGGGTCCCAGATAACCGGCTCTGACTGTAGTGTTTCTAGGAACAGAAGTATTTGGTCCTGTGACCATTGTAAACCAAGAGACATAGTTTAAAACTGCGCAAGGCCAAGCACACACACACTACCACGTAAAATGACTCGCCGCGGCGAACTGGCTGAAGTGAGCCGAGTAGTGCAGCGAGACATCGTGTTCATACTTCGGAACGCTTCAATCGGGTACAATCGACAACGATCGGCAACCATCGCGGCGAGGCGCGCGGCGAGGTTGCACCGAGCAAAGTTTAACCCGGGTTAAACCTCGATCAACTTACTTACTTAGTTTTTACGTTTCACCTGCTTTCATTTTCTAAGGCAAAAGATATGTTATCATGAGGTAAAAATAGTAACTTACGGTCTACTCATGCAATTTGAATCGTTTTGATTGAGATCTTATTCAATCTGGGGTCAAAAATGTTTGGGTAAGAAAAGGTAAAATTAATCCAGAATGACGTTTATTTTGTTATCATCCATATCTTAGGAAATTGACTGACCGAGTCAACCTCAAAAGAATTGCGCTAAATTCAATGCATAAGTTTTCGTTCGGAACATAATTTTTTTTTTTTACCTAATATGCATAAGTAGGTAATGTCTTAATTAACAACTTGAACAGTTATTTAAGCGATAGCCTATTGGCAATTAGACAAATAGGATGCTAGCTAGGTTGCATAAAAATATCTAATTGCTGTCTGTCTGACATGTATTCGCACTTGCGAATTTTAAATGAGACCGGTTTTGTTTACACGTTTAAGTAGGTATTTATGTATAACCCTAATAACCTACCTATCATAATTACCTAATAATGACTGATATTATAAGTTTTATTTAAACTTCTGAACTGCCCAACTTATTTATTAACAACATTGTATTTCTTTTCTAACGAGAACACAACGTACTTTTGTTTATGTAGGATTTAACAACATCTATTCGTATATTTCATGAAAAAGAACATGATAAAACTTACCTTTTCCGGTCCACAGGAACTTATTTGAAGATAATAACAATAACAAACACGAAAACACAGGTTTAATTCAGTTTATTTTACTTCATTTGTGAACAAAAACAAAACTGACACAAAATGATGTGATGAAAGACCTTGTAAAGTCACCATCCATGAATCGTGAATACATTTAAATACAGCTAACGCCATCTAGTTGAGTTGCAGTGACAATATGATGGATGTGTCCATCTGCTTTTTTGACAGAGTAAAATTATATTTTTAGTTCTACTACTCCCCGCTAGATGTCGTTACTTACTACTTATCGACTTTCATTAAAATATACTTACAAGGTTCAATGTTTATAAAAAAAATAATGTTCAATTTTTAAAAACAAGAAAAACAAAAAAATGTCTGCAAAATGATTTAAGTATTAACAATTCGTTGTTGCCTGCCACCTATGGACGAATAGCGTAAGCTACTGTGACTAGAGATGGGTTTCCACCCGGGTAAAAACCCACATGAGGGTAAAAACCCAATAAAAACCCGTTTCATTCCACCCGTGGGTGTTTACACCGGGTGAAAACAAATAATTTTATAATTATTTCAATTGGTATCTTTTCTTTATTTTTATTAAATTTTTCTCATTTAAGTTTATTGATTAATAAGTAATAAGTCAAATTTAACACTAATGCATTTATATCGTGGCCAAATCGTAAAATTGATCACGTTATGATGTTGTGACCAATTATTTTATAAAATGGTGTTATTTCAAGAATCGTTGAACCGATTTAAAAGAAATATAGTAGGAACACAATAATTTGTGATCATGGCAAGGACATGGAGGGGGGGATGCCAAAGATGCCAAACTCTCTCTTTGATGACATTACGGTATAACGTTACAAATAACAACACCAACTACAAAATACTTCTGCTTGAAAACTTGAAATCGACCGCCCTTCCGCCACTGTAACGCATTGTAACGTTTTTCAAGACCTCCTCTCCCCCCAGATTGCATTACGTAACACTAGAGGGTATTTCGCCAAAAATGGTCAATTTTGCCTAATTTCCTTGGTACGAAATATATTTTTGTTTTTAACTATTTTTAGTTTCCCATTGTATTAAGTAACAAAAACTGAGCTAATGTATCTAAAAGGGGTGTCATAATTCGTTTTAGAAACAAAGTTATAAGGTCATGAATTTTTGGTAGCCAAGGAAATTATTATGAATATTTTTTTCTCTAAGTTTTCTTCTGTGGTTTGCTTTTTTTTTGTTCGACCCATTTTTGTGTGCCTTCGCAAGCAAACATACAAATAAATTTGTATCATTACGACCTTTTTACACAACTAAAGAAGATAAATTCAGTAAATTGAGTTAAGAGTTAAAAACAAGTTGTTCTGTATCTATTCTGATACCCATTTCTTAAAATGTAAATTTTAAACTTATTCCAATAAAGAAATACTCAAAATTTGACTTTACGCCGAATTAAAAATGGTATTTTATAATTTCCTAGGCCTTTTTATGCCACGGAAAACAAGGAAATTAGAGCCAAAGAAATTAAATTTATGCCTAAAAGACACCACAGACAAAAACCTATTTACCCTATGCATTTACTATTTAAATCATGGGTTTACCCCTACAGACACAACATCTGTGTAAATAAACAATAAAATTAATCCATTGTTTAGCTGCAAAAAACCGTCCAAAGAAATTGACTTTTTAGTAAACAAAAACCCAAGGAGGGACTTACTTATGCGATTTGTCGCGAAACTGTTCAACGAAGTACTGTCTTGCCTCGACGGCCTCTTGGGACGAAATGGCCGAGTGTAACGGTGCAGTGCATTACATTCTAAGTTATTTCGTTTCGTTACTACAATGGTCGAAAAGAAGACCCAGGGAAATTATACTTTTGACTCGGACAAGAACTTAACTTCACTTTATTTCCTTCCTTTAAGTATTTGACATTAAAAGTTTTTATTTTCCGATAGCCAAACGTTTCTCAAATGTAAAGAGAGTGCTATTAGAATGAAATTACGCTTAAATTTGTTATAATGTGCCTTCATTTTGGCAAACAACAGTAATGGACATAACAAGGAAATTAGAAAAACGACTTTTGATTAAGTTTTTCTACGGTATAATTTGTAGTTTCTGCTATTGTAATAGCAAAAACAAATAAAACTTTTGATTAACTTTCCCATAAAAATAGTTTTATACGTGAACCACTTTTCTTTCACGACTATAAAAATATTTTAGCAATTTAATTCACAAAATCAATTGCACACATTTAAAATAAAGTTTGTTTACACTTTGACAACAATAGACTGACATGCAAGGTGACATGTCAATGAAGTTTTCAGTTACTGTTGCCATTAAAAGAAATTAGTACCATTAGTTTTCCGCAACATGGCGAGGGTTTTTATGTTCCTGGTCAGGCTATACATATAAATATAAAAAAACATGTGTTCGCCTGCCCGGACACAGAAAATTTACTGTTTCGGCGAAATACCCTAGAACGCCCCCTTAGCAACAAATACCACTTCTCACTTTAAAAAAACGCTATTTTTGTTTTCACCCACCAGAATGGGTGATAATGGGTAAAAACCCGGTTTTTACCCATTATCACCCAGTTTAAACCCAATCGGGTGAAATGGGTTTTTACCCACTACCCATCTCTAACTGTGACGTCACAACAACGTTGTCTGACTGGTTTGGTCAAGTTACCCGGAGTACCGTTGAGTTCAATGACCCGCTGTGTGTTTTGTTTACGCGGCAATTCGACAGGCGGAAGGTTCAAAATTCGAATTTGTGTGATCCATTCCGTTTCACACGAACTTTAAAGTTGTGAAAATAAAAAATAGCGGATTATAGTTATAAAATGATCTTAGTTAGCGTGTTGTAGGTACGTAGGTGACTAATAAATTCAATGATGCCCATTGTGGAAGCTGTAAACCGCATAACGGTTGATACACAGATTATAATGAATTATAGCTGTTTAGTTTGGGCACCACATGAATTTTGTATGAGAAATTGCATTTTATAATTGGGCGTTTCTGCCTCAGGGTATAAACTCAATTCAGAAATGTTTGAAATATTATATTTTCTGAAATAGGTATTTTTTGCCTGATTTTTTTTTTTCCTTAATTTTTGCCTTTGGCGAAATTTTTTGCTGTAAGTGTAGTATATAAACATAAAAACAACTTATCTAAATATTAAAAGAAACCAAAAAATCTAGGCTTAATCATTTTAAAATATTGTTAACTTATGTATAAACTATTTATTTAATATTTATTATGGACTCAAAGAAATTATTGCAATTAAAAAAAAATGGTTTAAAAATTCATGATAGTCTTAATGAGTCTATGATCTAAGCTATTATCAGTGAACGTGTTCCTATTGTGTTGTGACACAGATGCAATGTCCGCAAAAGTCAAAAACCCTGTCGTGGCTAAATGCAATCCGCGAGAGCCTCAAAGAAGAAAAAAAATTACAGATTAAAATACTGTGTTTTCAGAAGATACTGCTACTTTGATTTTACGCGAGCGAGTAACGTCTTAGGATTTACTTTAGGCCATTTTCTGTTGCAATCAATGCATCAAACTACTTCTTGTTTTCTTTCCTTTAATGAATAAATTGTATTTTCTTATCATCTGCCATATATCCATACTTTTGTCAATCTGCAAGTATTTCGACATCTCATCCGCAACAACAGGGTTGCAGGACTTTCAGGATACTTGTTGTTTATATGCTTGGAAAAGTTTACAGCTTATTTGGCAATACGTGTTGCAATGAGGATCAGTACTGTTGTAGAAAATTCAATAAAACTAGTATCTACGTTAATCTTTAAGACATAAGAAAGATATATCTTTTTGAATTATCCAAATCGGACCATTACTTACGAAGATATTAAGTAATAAACATAGGCCGTTTTTGCCGCTAAAAGTCAACGTACGCAAGGCCGCGTGACGTCATTATATCCGAATCGAGCGCAGCCGGCGTACTATTGGGATGGAAAATATTTTTTTCCGGCTAAACTATCAGTTTTAGAAAAAAACTTTTAATAACATTTATTCTTCAAAATAAAGTAACCTATCGACCAGTAATTTTTAAAAATAAAAATTGTGAAAAATAAGTATTGCTATGTCCAAAAACCACATTTTCATAGGATTCGATGCAATGCGGAG